CTATGTGGTACAGAAAGTCACCAAATTTTAAAAAGCTTTCGGCAATGTAGTGTTATGTGACTGCTATTCTTCGAAGAACATTTTTGTGAGGATTTAAGATTTTTACCTTTGCTCACGTTAAATTCTGATCAGCTACAAATCTGTTTATTTTATGACCGGTCAATTTGAATTTGGGTCTTGTGTTCGCTATAAACCTTACTCTCGATTTTCACGATATATTGAACTGCTTGGATTTGGTTACTGAATGCATTTTTTTTCAGCCAAATTCCATGCAATTTAAAATATTGGCTTTAGATTTGTTCGAAAACAATATGAAGAATGGAAGGTGGCTACTCTCCCTGAAAGAGTCAAAATATGCCCTCGACGTCATAATAGGGACTCCGTAAGATTGATTTATCTTCTGAAGGTTCAAATAAAATTTTAATTGGAATTTTTTCATTATTAGAGGCAAGTGGCTTTATATGCTGATCTTCTTGATCGTAAATAACTGAAAATTCGAAACCTCATCTGAGAAATACAATATTGAAACTATTATCCTAAATTTCCAGAATAAGTGTAATTTCCTCTAAAGAAATTCCTAGTTAAAAACAAATTTTTCATGAAAATACTTTAACTCCCACCTGTTCCACCAAAAGTAGTACCTACGCCATTGAAAATTATTAACAAGAACTGAACAAAGGAAAAACAAAATAACATTCGCCGATATTGATTCGATTGAATGTTTCCCAAAATAAATTCTATGGAAAGTAGAACACAGATACTATAGAGTATGGATGTGAGAATAATTGCAATGATACCTTTGTGTATTTTTTATTGTTGGTAATTCATTTATGGGGAGGGACCACCGACGCATGAGAAATTAAATATATATTTATTTGGGTGTGTAAAAAATCTCATATTCCAACGGTATGCCAAGCTAACTAACCACACATGTGTCTGCTTAATGATAATTATACACATTGTGATGCATTTTCGGATACATATACATATGTCTGTATGCTCGTATGCACATACGTTCAAGTGGATCGACATATAAATGAAGCGCATGGACAGACACGCGTAAAACTTGTTGTGACACTAAATTATGGGTCTTTGAAAATTTACAAGCGAATATTTTCTTCATATTTTCGTTTTGTGGCTAAATTGTACAATCAATGTCAGATTTAATGATAATAAATTAAATGATATAAATTGCAAAAAAAAAAGAAAAAAATAGAATCAAGTACAAATAACCTACACACAAACAAACACTCATATGTACAAAGCCAATACAAAAGAAAGAAAAAACAAAAGAAACCAAATAGAGAAGCTGTTATACTTCATTAAATGAAATTTGAAATGGTATTCAATTCAATATTCTGTCCTTGTCACAGTGAATCTAAGTTCCTGTCGTTGAGGATGCTATTTGAAATATAAATATTTTTTGATAACATTTATTAAAAAAAATATTCTTTAGGAGGGACATTTTATCTGTAGGAAAATCCATACGTTTTCATGGGAGTCTAAAATTTGGTGTTTTAGGTTACCATTAGCTGTAAAATCTTGTTATTGAAAATTTTCCACATGTTGATGATATATTCAATTCCGTTAATTCATTTCGAACTCTGTTTGAAAAATTCAAAATCCAAAAATAGATAAACCATATATTTCATCTAGTTAATGGAATGGCGATGCAACAACTGAAGCTGGTCGTTAAAACATGATCTTCTTCGCACCGAGTGCACTCAACGACTTGTTCGCCTCCCTCCCCCTCACCACTGATGAACATTTTTTCTGTTTATTTTTCCATTAAAAGGATTTTGAACTTTGTTCAATAATATTTATAATGCATTTATATTTATTAAAGCAATGAGTGGTTATTTTCAACACCCACTGGCGAAATCATTCCCTGATATTAATTGTACATCAGGATGGTTGGGAGTATGTGTGCGTGTTTTATTTTCACCTATGAAAAATGTGGAAATTTATTACATTTTTTTCATATTAATGAGGCATATTTTGAGTAAGCGATCAAAATTAGTTAAAATTAGAATAAAAACATTGGAGCATTTTTATCACAATTTAGTCATAAGAGCTTTAAAAATAATATAGAGATTTGTTAGAGAGAAATTATTGATAAACTGGATTTTATACCTAAAATAATTACATTATCTTCAGATGAATTCAAATAATAATTTTTCTCATACCCTTTAGTTCTGCAGCATACAAATAATGAAATGTCAATAAATGTAACTAAGATTAAAAGTGGGGTAACTTGAGGCGTATGATTTATGAAACAATAACAGTTACTGATATCCATTCAGCATACGCCACCATGGCGTATACCTTTTTTCATGCATTGTATAATCAAACCATATATGTAGCTCCCGAGTGCATGCAAACATTTAAATGTTTTACATTCGTATTAAAATTTAATCGTTTTAGTGTTTTTTTGATTTTTTAATTTCTTTTCGCTTAGCACCTTCATTTCATTCGTGTCTATCACACCCAATTTGGCACAACACCTTGTAATGCACTGAGTGTAATTATTAGGCCCACTTGTTCTCTCGACACCATCATGTTTTCGTCCCAATTATTGAACTAGGTTAAGTGCCCAATGTACATACATACGTACATATATTCAATCATATTTAAAGATATAAAAATGGTTTTTTGTTGTTGTTTAAAATCAACAACTAAACGAAATCATATCGGGCATTACTTTGCTCTCCTCTGTTGGTCATTAATTTGAATATTGAAATTGCTTTGAGTTTGTTGAATAAATAAACATACAGACAAACAATCAATCCAAATGAAATATTACAGGGTGTTGTGAAATTCATGTAGGGTGGTTACAGATTTTTTATTGAATTAGGAACTTATTAATCAAAAATTTATATTTTAATTTATATAGAAAATATTTAAGTTTTAGTTGTAAGAAATAGTTTGAAATATATACCAAATATATTGTTAAATTTTGACTTTTTGGTCATAATTTGCAAATATAAATCATTTAAATGGAATATACACACGCACTAAGGAAAACAGACGGAATAAACAAATAAAAACACACCTAAGTCGAACCGGGCAGACTTTATAATACCCTACATAACCCTTATACCCTTTCTGGCGACATACGCTGGAGTTCGGTAAAAACAAATTCAAAACTATAATGTTATTCCTAAATATCAAAATAAGATCCAAAGCCAAAATTGTTTATTAATGTCATAGTTTTCATACCCTCAGCCTTATGTCTAAGAAGGGTATATACACTTCGCTACGGCAAGAATGTGCCGTAATATTGGAAATATTGCTTTAGACCCCATGTTTCTTTGGACCAAATCCGTTTCAGACAATTTTGAGTCGATTTACAAATATGCGTGTGTCTGACTGGCTGGTGCGCAAACTTTGCACATCGTAATATTCTACCAAACTTAGTTCAAGTTCTGAGATCGTTCATCCTTCTGGTAACTCCCACACGAATTTTTACCAAAAGTAGATCAAGTCTGAAGACGGAAACAATTGGTCCACTCTTCTACCTCCGTCACAAAGGGTCAAAATTGTCAATATTTGTAAATTTAATATTAGGCGAAAGGAATGCCCGAATTGAATCAAATTTTGCATAACGTATTATCTTTACCCAGACTAGTTCAGGTACGAATATGAGAGCCATTGACCCACTCCTTCTGGTATCTCCCCCACAAATGGTAAACACTATAAATCCAATATCAGTCGAATGGAATGTCCGATTTGAACCAAACTTTACCAATCATAGATCCAACCCGAATGGGTCCCATTGGACCACTCCTTCTGGTATCTGCCTCACAAAGGGTCAATATTTTATAATCATGACAATTTAATTTTGAAAAACCAATTTGATCAACATCAAATCCGAAACATCATTGAGCGCAACACCGACACTTTTTTACTTGCTTTATTTAATCCTAGATATTGTTTTTCTGCCGGATTGGTTGTCCACCAAATTCCTTTAATTTCGTTTTTAAAACAAATTGTCTAAAATATTTTAGATTTTATTGGAGAGAAAATCTCACTACCAAAAATTGCCACTATTGGTCCAAGTATCAGGTAATATAACTGTCCCTCCATTATTCGGTAGTTTGGAAACATTTTTTTACTGAATTGAGACTAACTCGATATTTTGGATTAACAAGTTTTGATATAATGCAATTATAAGGGAACCATCCATTATACGAAGGGGTTATTATTTTGGCATTTTGGGGCGTTAGTGGGTTCTTTACAGAAATATTCAATAGTAGCCCAAGAGATTCCAATAGGCAAGATACGCTGCCTGGAGTTCAGTAAAAACAAATACAGCACTTGCTAGTTCTTCTGATATTTCATATTAAGATCGAACATTAACATTTCAAGGTCCAATTATATATATATATATATATATATGTAAGTCAACTTTTGTCTAACCCTGCAACAAAATATAACAAGATGAAAAAAGAAACAACAACAAGACACAACAAATAAATTTGGCCTCAATTCAAATCATTAGAAATAAATGAGCAGTAATATGTATGTAATGTACATACATCAATGTGTGTATGTATGTGAGTATATTTGTACAAGAGTTTAGAAATGCTAGCTTTTAATTTATATTCCGCTCAATCGTTTATAATATGACGCACTTAAGTTGATGCAGCAGGTTGTTTTGACAAGTATTCTCTTACTTCATGCACCCTGTCGTACAAATTGCATGTTTTTTTGGTATATAGGCTTTACATACATATATACATGATTATAGTACATACAGGCCTCCACCAACATCTACGTCATATATTTCAAAATCGTATTGTTTATTTTCGACATTCATTAACGGAAATGATTAGACAAATTGCACTGTCATGAAAAATATTTCAAAATCAAAATCGCATTAATTTGTTAAGATATTGTGAAGAAAGAAAAAAATATCATCATCTGCTGAAGAATATACAATTTAATTTATTTATTTTTAATTTTTTCCTTCTTTTTCTATTCCAGAATAATTGAACAAAATGACCAAAGAACAGACCACAGTCATACCCGAAGAACTTTACAATTTAACACAATTGGCTGAAGTGGCAGCTGGTCGTTTGAACACCGCCTCCGAAGAGAAAAGCCCCGTTAAACACCATCATCACAGTGTCGTAAATGGCGATATGGAGTCACTGAACGTGGAACGCCGTGTCGATGTGATTAACCGTAAAACCACACATGGTCCGATGAAAGATATACAAGGGCATTCACACGATGAGGATGGCCACGATGAAAATGAACATCAACGTGTAACTGAACCGACAACGGTACATTGTGAAATATCCGCTGCCATAAAGACAGAAAACAGATCACCCGTGCCGCCATTTGAAAGCTACCAACAACAACAGCAACAGCAGGAAGAACAATATCATCTTCAGCAGCAATACAGCGAACACCACCTTCAACATTTACATCATCCTAAGCACCAACCGCATCATCAACACAGCCAACAGCCGGACCATCATCTTCACGTTTGTAATTCGAATTTGAATGGTACAGCCTTCTACTCATCTTCGGATGATGACTCCAATTATTATAGCCATAAAGTATTCGATCGCAAGAAATTACGTAGATCCACAATATCCGATAATTCACCACGTTACGATGAACATTCATCGTGCAGCAGTAAATCGGGTGGTGGTAGCAGTAGCAGCAGTTGCAGCAGCGATGAGCAATGCTACAATCAACACAAGACTTCGGGTGAGGAGATGCTGCAACAAATGCACTTGGATTCAGGTGCCACCAACGGTCTAAATCTGCTCGACGACGAACACATATGTCCAGAATGTGGTAAAAAATATTCAACATCATCGAATTTGGCTAGACATCGACAAACCCATAGGTCAGTAAAATTCAAATATTTTACTTTTTGGTTTAATTGACAATTTCAAAAAAATAATCTAAGTTTAGTGATGATTTACATTTTAGGTCGATTATGGATAAAAAGGCGAGACATTGTCCGTTCTGTGAAAAGGTTTATGTTTCGATGCCGGCCTTTTCGATGCACGTACGCACCCATAGTCAGGGTTGTGAGTGTCAATATTGTGGAAAAAAGTTTTCACGGCCATGGTTGTTGCAGGGTCATATTCGAACGCATACCGGTGAGTAATATTGATTTGAATAATGGAAGAATATGATAATATAAAGGACAATCTCTGAGAGTTATAGAACATTTCCTCTAAAATAAAAGACTTAAAATTCACTAAATGTTATTTGAATCGATAGTACATTGCAAATGCAAATTGTCCATCCTCTTAATTGAATTTTAGATATCATCTCTTGGTAGCGCTCATAGTTTACAGTTATGCTACGATTCGCAGCATCTTTGAAGAAGTATCGCACCAAAATGTGACTATTTTGGATCCATTGCCAAATTTTGCAGTGCTTCTGTCTTCACTCCCAAACCGATAATCCGAAATCGACAACTGAACCAAACATGAGCTTCATCGTTGAACAGAATTTTTAAATTTTTGTAAATCTTGTTTGCTTGTAGGATTCGTGGTTAAATTAAGGACATAAGTGAAGATGTTTGACATTGATACAAAGCACGAGATGTAAATGAGATGTTTTTTTTTTTTTTTCAAAAATATAAAATGCAGACACAAAATATTTTTACCTATCATTAATTTTATTGAATCATTTATTAATATTTCTTTTCCTTCCATTTCAGGTGAAAAGCCCTTCAAGTGCAATGTTTGCACCAAAGCCTTTGCCGACAAATCAAATTTACGTGCACACATACAAACGCATTCGAACACAAAACCCCATACCTGTAAGCGATGCGGCAAAGCCTTTGCTCTCAAATCCTATCTGTATAAGCACGAAGAGTCTTCGTGTTTGAAAAATCATCACAGAGGTGATAAGGAGGTACGTGCCCATAGATCCCAGCATAATCATCAACAAAACACCAAACAAAATATAACGCCGGCAGTTAGTTATCGAACCGGTAATGATGGTGGCTGCGCAGCAGAATCGGCTAAAACAACATTGGCCACCAAGTTATTGCAAAAAGAAAAAGACCGCCAACAGGCTGTATTACAATATGCCAATTTGGCAGCAACAAATAGCGGAGCTTTACAAATTATTGCATTGACAGGTGGCAGTGATGTGGATAGGACACCACTACAGCAACAACAACAAAAATCCTACACCATGTTAACCAGTCCCATTGGCGGTGAGGATTATGAACACTATAAACGTATAAGTGTTATACAGACATCAGCTGGTAATAATATTAGTGTGGGTGCTGGGGCTGGTCATCTATTCGCAACTGGCCATCTAAGTGTGGAGGTTCCTGCGACGCCGCCCACCACTCACATGCAAGTGCAATTTTATAATGCAACAACAGGGGTAACATCAACCACAACGTCACCCAATGAACAAGAACTACAAGATCAACCTGTGGATTTTTCACCCAAAAATAATTTCACACATTCGGTTAAAACGAGTCCTTTCGAATTGACTGGCAATTATGCCATTGTGGCCTAAGGTTATAGAAGAAGAAGAAAAAAACAAATTAAAATGAAACTGGAAAAAGACAACAAATTGTATCTCAAATGAAAATTAAAAAATGAAACTGTGCATAAACGAAAAAAAAGATATGAATAGAAAAAAAGAAAAACGAGTAAAGACAATAATTGCGAAGGATACACATACGAAGGGCTTCCTTCTCACCCACTGATTCGTACGTACTATAATGCAACGTAATGATAGAAAAAGAAAATGAATGAACGCAAATTCTGACGATGATGGTATTTTTTATGATTTTAGTACACACACACACGCAAAGAAACCTAGTTATTAAGTTAATAGAACCAAAACCAAAAACACATGTGATAGTAAATTTACTTACATACGTACTTTGTACATATTTTTATTTTTTTATATATATTTACATTTTATTTTTTGAAATATGTACTCTCATTTAGTAGTTATATAGAATTTCCAAACTTATAGATTTATATTTTTTTGTAGGATTTAGATGTTCAGTTTTATTATTATTATTTTTTTTTTTTTTTTTGAAAATCATGTAGTGTATCACTTGAAGATATTAGAGGGATTAATACAAGTCTGCGGAAATTATGTACAGCTATAGATGCTATTATTATTAGGTTTTCAGGACATAGATAAATCTATAAATGCCAAAATATGTGAGTCGTTTATTTTAAAAGTGGTTTAAGTCCACTTTAGGTTCTGATAAATATCTTGGTTTTCTAGTTATGTTTACAAAATGTATTACATTATATATTCTATCGTGTTTAAGAGCACAAACCAGAAAACAAAATTAATACCACTTAACAATATTTTTTAAACAAATCAAGAACAAATACTTAAATATCTCAAAAATAAACGATTCATTCAAAATAAACGATTCATATGTAGGAGGATTAACCCATACAAAGAATATTTTTCTCATACTCACGATAGATTCCAATTTTTGTTATTATTATTATAAACTGGTAAATTTTTTATGTCTTTTTTAACCCATAGTCACTTGAAACCTTTATGATGGCACACATCACACAAAACGACATCAGCTTCAATATAGGTCGATTTAGTCATGTCCTTCTGTTGAAATCACGATAGAAATCGTATTATTTAAGATAGAACTCTGAAATTGAGCACAGGCATTGGTAGGTTTGTATTAAAAATGGGATACATTTTGGTATATTCCCCATGTAACGGTACCCCACAATAGTCGGTATTTATGAGATCTCAGGCATGTTTTCCAACCGAATTGGCTGCCATTTTGGTATTGTAGGTTCTCATTATATAGCACACTTCCGACCCTTCATAACGGTTCATCCCACCATTCGGTATGATGGGGATTTTAGGCATGTTTTTTAAATGCATTTAGTGTAATTTTTATTTTGAATTCTAATTAGGGAGGATATCTGGCTACAAGAAACAATCAATATTGATCATCTTTTTCAGGTAGAACCCATACAATGGTACCTCCCAAATTTCAGTAATACGGAGAGTATGTGCACAAACAAATTTGGTGTAATTATACCCTACACAACTATGTTTTCAAGGTATTATAGCTTTGTGCAGCCCCAAGAGTTTGTAACTCGAAATATATCGATCATATCTGGGCTAGACATGTGTGTCCGTCCGACTGTCCATTATAATTTGTTAACACAATACAGACCATTTATGGACCAATCGTCACGAAATTTTGCATGTAGGATCGGTTCAGGCCAAAAAAGACCACTACTGGTTTTAGTAATGATTCATTAATATTTAGATGATGACAAGGACCAAAAATATTATTTTTGTCTGTTTTTTGTCGCTCTAGAGGCCACAATTATAACCCGAACACCACGAAATTTTACAATTTTTTCGGTGATATTTATCGTGATTTCAGACTTTTGTGTCAATAATGACAAAATTTGTTTTCTGGTGCGTATATATTTATACCTGAAGTTCATATATACCCGTTGTCAGTTTTGTCAGATTTTCTAAACACTCTAGAGGCCATTATTATATGCAGAACATCACACATTTTACCCAGTGAAGTGGATCTGACAAAAAATTTAGAACGGCTGTTTTGATGATGTTCGGTCAATATTCCGAGGGCCAAATCAACACAAACCTAAAGTGACCAGATTTTTTTATGGCGTAAATTTTCAACTCAGAAAAACAAGATTTGGTAAATATGCCAGTTTAAAAAAGTGGAGCTGTTGACCTATAATCGGCCAAGAGGGTGCAAATATCGTGAAATATTGCCCAGGCTCAGAAAATAAAAAAAAAACAGAAAGATAGATTTTCGTGGTGGGTATTATATGGTCGGCCCGTCCGTCTATACTGTTCCACTCACTGGTTTTTTACTTTGGATTGTCCTATCAATATAAGGCGCTGTTTGAGTATAACAACCATTTAACTGCAACTCACACTATTTAATATTTTAGGTATTTCAGACATATATTTGAACCTCACGCGCCATTTCGTTATATTCAATGTCCTATCCCAACATCGGCTGTTAGTTCGACCCTGTCGAAGTTATAGGCCAAACTCTAATTGCCTGCAATTTGTCGAATTTTCTAGTCATTTGGGTTTTCAATGAAATATGAGATCAGCTGGAAGCAGGTAATGATTTTCACATTGCTCTCATTTAGTGTGATGACTGGCAATGGGCCATAGACATATGTAATGCACTGCAGAATTTTGCGCCCTGAGACATAATTATGCCCCTCTATTTATTGGACTTCACAGACTGCTGTATTTAATTGCTTTATTCTATCTCTTTGGTCTTGAAAATAAAATTTTACCAACAATGTAAGGTGTTGGTTGTTCTTTGTGGGTTATATCCTTCATACACAACATTTTTATAACGCCTATGTAGATTTTTCAATATTCGGCATTTTAATTTCACGAAAAAATTCTAATGCTGTCATTCATAGTTCCAGACTTGTACCTTCTTCTTCATGGGGATACATACTTATTTTTATCATAATTTTTAGTAACTTTAGAATGTATTTATTCACTTTAACAACTTTACAGTATTGCAATCAATTTTTAAATTGTTATTTTACAACAACAATAAAATCTATTGTAGTTTAGAAATTCCAATAAGTCAACTAAGCCATAAGCAAGCAGCAAGCCGTTTTTACTTCAATAATAAATAGCTATTAGTTACAGCACTTTATTTTATGATTATTATTTTTATTAGATTTACACATCGATTTGTCGATTTAGGCCTAAGAAGAACACTTGTATTTGGCTAAGAGCCGTTGGTTCGAAGCGAATATAGACGAGATGATCTAGTCTTTAAAATTAGTCACAAATCAAATGGAATGAAAAACGAAGCAAGAAAATATTTTCTAATGTTTTCCATTTGATTTGATCTTAAATATAAAAAATAAAAACAAATTAGCAATTTATAAAAAATTATTTTCCAAAAAACAATCACACCAAAAATTATTCTATTTTCCATTAGTTTTTATTTTTATTTTTTCAATCCTTAAAACATGGCCGTAATTGGTGCAATATTATTTTTAGATTTATCAATTAATTTGGATTTTGTTAATTGTCAAAATTTAAGCCCATATAAATCTAATTTTGTTTATTTTTTTATTAATATTATTATTTATTATAGTGATGAAAGCATTTTATTTGTATACTATTCTTATTTTATTCAGTCAATAATTTTTTACATTATAACTACAATGAAATATGTATTATATATTATTATTTTTTAGTACTTATTATTTTTTGTAATTTTAGTTAATCGAATTTCATTCATACAGCTAAATATACCAAAGATTATATGCACTCCTATGGTGTTCCATGTATTCGGAACAGTGGATTTCATATGCCAAAGAATATATACATACATATATATTTTTTATTAGAATTAGTTTCTTCATACGAATACCAAAAAATAAAGCTTAAGACATCAAGTCGAAACAATTTGTGTTTTAATTTGTTTTATGTTGTATGTATGTGTGGAAGTTGAGTATAAATATTATATTAATTATACGGAAGTTTTGTTTAAATCGGTTAAGGTTGACATATATTTTCCGATTTTAAGTAAATGGGGCACTAAAGACACAAAGGTAACCCTATTAACACAACATTTTCCAATACGTACTGAAGTTAATATAAATATATATCTGTATATCTATATATCTTGAAATCGCTTCAGATTTAGATGTAGCTCCCATATATATATATATATTCTACACTGATTTTCGGTAAATGGTGACCAAACTTCTAATGTTGTCCATTTGACACGAAATTTTGCACAACATGAAATTGAGACTAGAATGACGGTATAGCGTTTGTTGAAATTGGTTCAGATGCACATATAGCTTCCATATATATTTTCGACCGACTTCGTGTTAATTTTGCACCAACTAATCAACCAACTAGCGGGTGTCAAGTTAGATTTATATCAATGTATTTCATTGTATACAAACGACTCTAAATTTGGACATTTGAAAAATATAAGTTTTCGCAAAAATATGTCACTTTCCTGTTTACCTAATTTCATAATTCCAAACATGAACTTTTTTACTTTTAGTATCGCTAAGTTCAATTGTCTGAAGTGTGGGATTGATTAATCCCAGAGGGGTTGGGATTAGAGATGGGCAGTGGGTAAATACCCAAAGGGTAAATACCCGGTAAATTGGGTAAATACCCGGTAAATTGGGTAAATACCCATTTGAATCGGTAATACAACATCTTGCACCCTATTTCCGGGTTTCTGTTATCAAATCGATTTAGAATAAATAGTTTTACGATACTTTAAAGACGTGGGTAAAAACTTGGGTAAATACCCGAGTTTTTTTTATATGGGGGCTATATCAAAACTTGGACCCAGGGACCCCATGTTGGATTTCTATATTTGCTTTGTCATTAGAAACATGTGTGCAAAATTTTGGCCGCCTATGTCAAGTGGTTCGGGAGTTAATGAGTTTATACCCAATTTTTGGGTAAATACTCAAAATAGGGGTACCTTTGTATAGGGACTACCAGTAAACGTG